TTAAACGGGAATCCCTCGTACTCGTCTAAGAACATAACCAGCTGGCTAATACAGATCCTCAGATCTCCAGTAGTAAACTCGTAAGGAATATTAAAGCCCAACGGCCCAAACTTACGCCTCTCTAACGTAACGCCATGGAAGAGACACAGAGAAAAGAGAAGGTACTTGAATTCCTCCTACAAATAAAGTGCACATTTTCTTTGTCATTTAGCTTTAAAATGTCCACTAAAAAACTGCTTAATATTAATGACATATCTTCTTTACATACAAAACAAAGAGTTAGAAAAATCCCTATAAAATGCGAAAATCATCGAGAATCCTTATTTTTTCCTTATATTTTGTGCAATTTCCTCCAAAAGTTTTATACAATTCAATCTCAGGTACGATCATCAAAGAAGACATCGATCGAACTAAGCTAGCCTCCTCAGCAGAAGTCACTAAGAATCACGGGCCTCCTGTGTTTTTTGGGAGTCAAAAGAGGGAGAATGGGGGCGAGAGAGGGGACATATTTCTTCCGGGAGAATCTACGTAACATTCAGTTGATGTAATATGTTCATAAAGATATAATACAAAACACATAATACAATAGAACGAGAAACAATGGAATAGAGTGCACGTCACATAAGCATGAAACAATTCTTAACTAATTAGCGCTAAATAAGATTTAGTTATCGACTAACTAAGAATTCACTGGGGCATGAACACAATGCCAGAAAGGAAGCTTGTCTTTGTTTATGCCTCACTAAACTCTTAGTTAGTTGATAACTAAATCTTATTAGGCGCTAATTAGTTAAGAATTGTTTCATGCTTATGTGACGTGCACTCTACAATACATTTTATGAATACATTACATCAACTGCGTGCTACGTAGGTCACCCCTATTTCTTTCTCGTCTCTAGCTCCTAGCGGCCAAGATGACCGTTATAAAGGGAGGAGCCTAGAACAAAGCAATGTTTTACCTTTTTACAAGACTTGTAGAAATCATCGTTAAACCCAACAAAAGATCTTAGTAGGTTAGCCTTGATGCCCCTCGGTGGTTCAACAGTCATTTTGGATCCATTTTGTAGAATCGACACAGGGAACAATGGACTAGGCATACTTGTTAACCATAGACGAAAATCACGGTGAACCTATCGACATGTAAATGAAGATAAAATCAAAATATAAAATTGAGTTGTCTGACTTGAGAAACGAAGTGGTTTTTCGGAAGTTTCATGATCCATGGCCATGGAGCATCCATTTTAAAAGAGATAATTCCAGATTTATTTTTGACGGAGAACGCAAACGTCAAATTAGCTTTTTCTAAGCTTTTTTGGAAATTAAAAATATTCGTACGTAAAAAGACTTCGAAAGGAAAATAATTTGACACGCGCGGTAACGATGTAGTTTATAGTCATACGAAAAAAATGGAGCGTTGATACCGAAGAACAAAAGAAAACAAAACGAAATGAAACGAAACGAAACGAAACGAAGCAAAATAAAACAACAAACATGTCCACGTTTAGGTCTGACGTTTGGCGTTCTCAGCAAACGGGAATCTAAAATTATCACTACAGACATTAACCTGAACTAAAACATAATTTACTAAAAATAACAAAACTTTAATCTACAATAATCTGTATCCTTTTATTGTACAAACCTTGTCACCATCGATGTTTTCAATCAGTCGTTCTAAAGATGGCATCCAGCTCGGTGCTAAATGACAGTTTTGGAAGAAAACCCATTTACCACGTTCCATAGCCGATCTCATCATGGCCTCGGCACGTGGCCCCTAGTCATGCAATAATAATGATAAGTGTTTGATTAAAGAGAACTCGGCACATTATCGGCACATGGTCAGTGAAACAAAATATCTAAAGTCGACTATTGTTTTATCCCAAAGATGGAGCAGTATTTCCATGAACTGCAAGGGTCTTTACCATACGTATAAGGACTACGTTTTCTAGTTAAGAGTACATACCTGCCCTTGTCCTAACGAGATAGCAGTGAGCTTCTTTGAGAACCTCATTTCATCGGCAAATTTGTATAAATCAGCGGCAGGATCAGTGCCAGTTGACAGTACGAAGATGAGTGGAGTTGATGGCGATGAGTCTTTAAAGACTGAAGAAAGTTCWGCAGTCTGGTAAACAAATAATAATTGATATGAATAATATTTGAAATTACTGGCTCAGAATGGACGTAAAGAATTATCTTTCCAAGATGACTGTCATCCGACTAGGGGCATAAGCTAGTGTTCGGGGCACGCAAATATTATAGTTTTTAAGCCAGTTATCAATAGTTCGCAATATCAATACCTAATAATTGTAATTTGTTGATAAAACTCTGACGTTCTGATATATTTACCTGTGGTTCAATAAAGCGCTGTCCAAGATGAGAGGATACGAAGTCTTGCATGTTGTTTGTAACTTTATCAGATCGAAGACATTTTAGTACGAGCATCTTTTGGAAGTCGTCCAAGTCAGTGTTCCACGGCTCGGGAAGTGGCTCCCTAATAAACGGCAGTGTAAGTCATTGAAATACGCAAATTGTATAAACACAGACAGGACGATAAATCTGAGGTATCAAGATAAAACCGAAAAACAAAAAAACAAAACCGAAAAAAAAAAACAACAACAGCAACAACAACAACAAAAAACAAATCAAAACAAGACAAAAAGAAACAAAACAAACCAAAACCAAAACGAAACGAAACAAAAAACAAAAACAAAACAAAACAAAAAACAAAACAAAACAAAAAACAACACAAAAAAAAACGTAAAAAAAAACAAAAAAAAAAAAAAACAACAACAAAAAACAACAACAAAAAACAACAACAAACAAACAAAACAAAGCAAAACAAACTAAATCAAAAAATTAAAGATAACAAAAGAGATCAAGTACAATACCTATGAGGGTCGACACTGTCAAACAGGTTTTTGTATTTTTCCACATGTTCAGAGAACGTCTCAGCAAACGATGCAAACTTGGGCTGAAATTGAACATAGATCACACTTCTGAAACTTCCATGCGTATTAAATTAAAAGATATGCGCATTAAAAGATACAATAGTCCTAGTGTCCCCTACATAGCGGACATCTATCCCTACCACTGAGAGCCAGTCCATACATTGATCATGAATTTAGAATTTCTGTATACTTGAGTACCGCACAACNCTTTTCAAACAATGACCGACATACATTGGAATACAGGCTGAATGTGAAGAAGTCATTGATATTTTCGATACGTTTCTCCACAGAATCTGAAAGTAAAACARTAGGCAAAGGCATTTTATATTACAACGTAAACATACAAAGGCTTTCAATCAATAGTATCGACAAAGTTATTAAAAATAAAAAAGTTATTAATACTACTGATAATATTATTATTGACATCGCTTGTTCCACTCAGTGAATTCAAAATTTGGAGAAATTTTCTAATTTTCATTTTTTGTAGAACAATCAAGAATTTGCATCGAACCAATTTGAAAAAAATCCAAAATCTGTTTTCACTATAATTGTGGCATGGTAATAAGACATGTTTCTCATCACGTCAGGCTTACATAGTCAAAATGTTTCAAAATTCTTCGTTCAGTTTACATCAGAGCGTCCATCTTGGAGGAACTTTAACACAGGATTTTGTTTATTCCTCCAAAATGGCCGCCAATCTTTTAACTTTTGAATCTCATGGGAATGTTTGAAAACCAACAATAGAATCATTAAAACACATTTTGACTTCGAGGAATACCTGATGTGTCAGCGTTTGAAATACTGTTCAAGAAGATTCTGACAAACCATTCCAATGAGTACTGGTACATAGGGTCAATGTTCGCCAAGTCATTWGTACAGAAAAACAGGATCCCTGTTCTTACAGCGACGGGGATGTACTGGGATCGAGTGACGTCGATATCCTTTTCTGTTTGTTCGGCAATCACGACTTTAGCCTGTAAGTAGAAATATTTTAAAAGTTGCTCGCTGGTATGCATTGCCAGGGGGAGTGAAAGGTGAACAAATAAATCAAAACATCACATGACGTCTATATAAATGGATTTCTTCTTAAAATTCTTGTTTATCATTATTTTTTCCTTCTTTTTGATTTTTAAATTAAATTCCTGTCATTTGTTTTATTGTGTTGTCTGTGATTTGCTTTGTAATTGAGGTCTTTTTACTCGATGGAGCCATAAACACTGGTATATTTTGGGAAATTCCAGAGTAGAATTCAGCTTGAATAGCTTTGGCATAAGTTTGCAAAAAAATGGCGGGAAAATACAAAAAGTTTGACGCGCGCGCGCCAGGCAAAGTGTCATTCATATGAAAAACGTCTAATTAGCCGATCAGAGAGCTCGTATTAATTAGACTGTTCATGTTATGTCCCAGTCGTTATCATTGGATTTCACCGACAGTAATAGCGTTGAAATAACAAAACGGGTTCTATATTTTACCTTTATTTCTCCAGATTTCGCTTTTGAGGCCTCTAAGGTAGCTATCAGATCTATATCATCCACAGGATTGCCTTCAGATGCTGATAATTTGTGTAAAATCTTGTCTTCAATCTCTTTGAGTTCTTGTCTCATCTTAGCATTGCTTACAATAAGCTGATTCTTTGCCTCCTCGAGATCAGGACGTTCTTCAGCGACCACTAGAGCCAACATCTGATCTTCAAGCCCACTGAAAATCAACAACTATAACATTTAAAGGGCTACTTGGACGAAAATCAAATAGACCTATTCATATGGGTATAATAATCATGAAGCAGCAGATTTCAAGAAGATATTGATACAAATCCTTGATAATTTGGGCAAAAAATGTTGGAGTAGATGACGTCATTTACTCAATCCTTTTGTTCTTCCATCTTTTGAATCAAAATTTATCTGATGTGGGACAATTCCAAGACAAATGTTTTCCCGCAATTGTTTTTAATTGATATCAATGATGCATATATATTTGTATTGCTTGAAGTTTTGAAATTAGGCCATTTTCATGCAAGTAGCACTTTAATGACTTATAAACACAATTCTGCATAGTTTGCGTTTCAATTTTTGGGATAAATCACTGGCATGTCGATATTAATGTCGATATGCGATGCACATATGAAAACAGAATGAACCCTGCAAAAAAGAGCGTAACAAAGTGTCGCATTTCACGTTTTAAAGATTTGTATGCATCCAAGAACCATTGGGCGACTTTTTGTAGTTTGCCATTTGTCTTTATTAACCAATCAGAAAGCGCCTTTCAGCAAGTGATAAATAGGCCGTTTGCATTATGACGTAACTTTACACTTTACTACAACTACCGGATAGCCTTGCGCATTTTAAGTTTTATTCAGATTTTTAATCCCCTTGGAGATTAATAAAACAATTGGCACCAATTGCATTACAAAAGAAAGTTGGCAAACCATTCTGGTAGCTGTAGTAAATGACGCCATAATGCATATCGCCTGTTGCAAAACAAAGCAAATGATCGCAGAGCTTCTCGGATGCATGTGCTCCTTTAAGAAATTCAAGTTCTTTCTATTCCATACCTCTGTGATAGAGTAAAGTTGACAATTGTAACCTTGGTTGATACCTCTGGGGTGTAGTGAGGATTTGGTAGTTTGGTTGTGATAAAAAACTTGAAATCGTCGTGGTATGGTATGATGGCATCACCCAATTTTATTACTGTACTTCCTGACTGCTTGAACGTCTAATATAAGGAAGAGTATGGTTGTTATAAGCTAGTCATGTGAAACCGTTTTGCGCAATAAATCATACTGTGAAAAGTGATGGTCGCAGTTTTTGTTTCTGCGAAATAATTTATAGCGGTTTAACGTTTCCTGACCTCTTTACAATGCTACTCTCAGTCAGCTCGAATCCAAGATGGCGGATACTCTTAGTAAAATGACGTCAAGCTGAACGACAGAGCGCAGGCTGTGAACTAGTCTAAAATTATCCAAAACTAACCTGCTTCAGTAATATAGGCTCCAGTGCAGGATCCAACTCTTCGGCTACATTCTCCAACAGACAAGGTTTACCAAATCGAACAGCATTCTCCAGACTTCTTAAAAAGTCCCTATCGGTTAGCTTGACCACGTCTAATCCTGACTCTTTTTCTAAGTTTTTCACCCACTTATTAGCCTGCCCTTGAGGGTCAATAAACAGCGGCCATCGCTGGGAGTTTTGGACGATGACACCATTCTCAGTTGAGAGGTTATCACGTGGTAAGCCCACAATCTGCCAATTACGTATGTCGACCGGGTTACCAAGCGTTGAGACGAGAGAGCATGGGCTCGAGTGAGGTACTTTGAGTCTTTTTAACGCCTCTAACCATTCTTCGACCATGGAGTTACGATATTCGCCAGTGAAGGCACCGAGGTATGCTATAACCCCTGATGATATCATGACATCGCCGATAATATTGATAATCTGACCATCAAATATCTGTACTGCCTCTTGCCAACGACCTTTTTCGTCACTAAGGCCACCGATGAGCTAAGACATTTTTAAACACATTTTTAGTTTAAAAATTATGAAATTATTATTTTCTTTCAATTGAGCGCGCTCACTAGACGTGATGGTTTCATCATAGTGTGCATGTCCTCTTATTGACACACTCTTATCAGCCAATCAGCGCGCGAGAATTCGCACAAGTGTGGTATAAAAAAAACATAACTTGAATGGTCGTTTCCCCTAATGACGTTTTGCCTGATTTCACGAAATGCATCATGGAGTTCATTAGAGTATGAATTAATATAGCTCACATACCTTTTCGGCCCTTGCTAGTCTTGCAGTACACTGCTCCGTTTTGAACTCCAGCTCTTGTTTTTTAGAAATACATTCTTCATATTTTGCCTGCAGAGATGCGATACCTTCCTCGACTTCTGTCAAACGAGCCTTAGCTGCTTCTAGTACCCTCTGTGTTTCCTGGAGCTCTTCCGTAGCATTTTTTAAAGCTTCTCTTTTAGGAGCGACAGCTCTTGCAACAAAGTGATACTTGTGCATAGCACGTACCCACAAACACATTGATGTACAGGCCTTAGAAACCTAGTTGGAGCAATCATAGTTATTAGAACATACGATGTTTGGAATAATGGAGGAAGAAAAGGATATAACATGTGCNGCTGATAATTTGTGTAAAATCTTGTCTTCAATCTCTTTGAGTTCTTGTCTCATCTTAGCATTGCTTACAATAAGCTGATTCTTAGCCTCCTCGAGATCAGGACGTTCTTCAGCGACCACTAGAGCCAACATCTGATCTTCAAGTCCACTGAAAATCAACAACTCTAACATTTAATGACTTATAAACGGAATTCTGCATAGTTTGCGTTTCAATTTTTGGGATAAATAACTGGCACGTCAATATTGATATCGATATGTGATGCACATATGAAACAGAATGAACCATGCAAAATAGAGCGTAAGTGTTGCATTTCACGTTTTTAAGATTCGCATGCATCCAAGAACCATTGCGCGACTTTTTGCAGTTTGCCATTTGTCTTTATTAACCAAGCAGAAAGCGCCTTTCAGCAAGTGATAAATAGGCCGTTTGCATTATGACGTAACTTTACTACAACTACCAGAGAGCCTTGCGCATTTTAATTGTTATTCAGATTTTTAATCCCCTTGGAGATTAATAAAACAATTGGCACTTATTGCATTACGAAAGAAAGTTGGCAAAGCATTCTGGTAGCTGTAGTAAATGACGCCATAATGCATATCGCCTATTGCAAAACAAAGCAAATGATCACAGAGCTTCTCGGATGCATGTGCTCCTTTGAGAAATTCAAGGTCTTTCTATTCCATACCTCTGTGATAGAGTAAAGTTGACAATAGTAACCTTGGTTGATACCTCTGGGGTGTAGTGAGGATTTGGTAGTTTGGTTGTGATGTAAAACTTGAAATCGTCGTGGTATGGTATGATGGCATCACCCAGTTTGATTACTGTACTTCCTGACTGCTTGAACGTCTAATATAAGAAAGAGTTTGATTGTTAAAAACTGACATCATGCTAAACGACTGAGAGTAGCTGGGGACAAGCATAAAATTGCACAAAACTAACCTGCTTCAGTAGAATAGGTTCCAGAGCAGGATCCAACTCCTCGGCCACATTCTCCAACAGACAAGGTTTACCAAATCGAACAGCATTCTCTAAACTTCTTAAAAAGTCTCTATCTGTTAGCTTGACCACGTCTAATCCTGACTCTTTTTCTAAGTTTTTCACCCACTTATTTGCCTGCCCTTGAGGGTCGATAAACAGCGGCCATCGCTGGGAGTTTTGGACGATGACACCATTCTCAGTTGAGAGATTATCACGTGGTAGACCAACAATCTGCCAATTACGGATATCGACCGGGTTACCAAGCGTTGAGACGAGAGAACATGGGCTCGAGTGCGGTACTTTAAGTCTTTTTAACGCCTCTAACCATTCTTCGACCATGGAGTTACGATATTCACCAGTGAATGCACCGAGGTATGCTATAACACCTGATGATATCATGACATCGCCGATGATATTGATAATCTGACCATCAAATATCTGTACTGCCTCTTGCCAACGGCCTTTTTCGTCACTAAGGCCGCCGATTAGCTAAGACATTAGAACGGTGCATTAGAAAATCAAATCATAAACCAAAATAAACAACAACAGCAACATCATCAACAACAAAACCGACAAACGATCAACTTGACAAATTGCTAACGGTTCTGAGTTGTATGTCCTCTTATTGACACAATCTTGTCACAAACTAGCCCACAAGCACGAAGTGTTCACTAGCTTACTAGCCCGCAATCCCAGGATCAGAAAGTGTTTGAACAACACTTTATGACGTCAAGAGCTTGGGAATACGAGGACATACTTCGAAAAATATTATTTTCTTTCTCACTAGACGTGATGGTTTCATGACAGTGTGCATGTCCTCCTATTGACACATTCTAATCATCCTATCAGCACGGGAGAATTCACACAAATGTAAAACGTAACGTGAATGGTCGTTTCCTCTAATGACGTATTACCTGCTTGCGCGAAATACATCATGTGGTTTATTAGAATATCCATGAAAATAGCTCACATACCTTTTCGGCCCTTGCTAGTCTCGCAGTGCACTGCTCCGTCTTGAACTCCAGCTCTTGTTTTTTAGAAATACATTCTTCATATTTCGCCTGCAGTGATGCAATACCTTCCTCGACTTCTGTCAAACGAGCCTTAGCTGCTTCAAGTACCCTCTGTGTTTCCTGGAGCTCTTCTGTAGCATTTTTTAAAGCTTCTCTTTTAGGAGCGACAGCTCTTGCAACAAAGTGATACTTGTGCATAGCACGTACCCACAAACACATTGATGTACAGGCCTTAGAAACCTAGTTGGAGCAATGATTATGTTAGAACATACGATGTTTGGAATAATGGAGGAAGAAAAGGATATAACATGTGCGCGCGGAGATACGGATTTTCTCTTCGAGTGTTGAAAAGATCTCTCGCGAGTGAGCGTAGCGAACGAGTGAGATGTTTTAAACACGAGAAGATAAAATTCGTATCTTTAATCGACCATGCAATATTCTGTTCATCATTAAAGCAAATTATGTCGTAAAATATTTTAAAGTGACAATTTGTGAAAATTAAGAAAAATTTCAGTAGTGAAAATAACTTTTCGAAAGAGAGCAATATAGGTATTTAATAGAAACTTATATGATAAAGGGTAAAAAGAAATGAAAGAGAAAATGAGAAATTAAATAAATGAGAATGGATAAAAGAGATCTTACTTTGCTAATGGCTGCCGGCGTGAAATCCTCCATATCGATGTAAGGCTGAATCTTTTGTATAACAGAATCAGGAATATTATCGTTGTCATACTTGAACAGGCTTTCTAAGAACTTAGCAGGATCTTGAAGCATAGCTTTGCCGGGTTCCCAGTAGTCGTCGACTTTCGTACCAACCTATAAATATCAATTATTTCAAATATTTAGTCCCTAAATTTTCATTATTGGATAAATCTTATGTATTCAGATAACATATCACAAGTGTTCGGTTGAACTCCAAATTAATAATTTTTTCAACACAGGTATTCCAAAGTGTATATACATCATTTCCTCACACCATGATTTAAAGCAACACACTAAATTGCCATAGTTGACGTGACTTTATAATTAATGAAGGGCTTTGGAAATGCCTTGAAAAAAAAAATACCGCCTTGAAAAACAAAATACAGAAAGAAAAAAACACTTATATCGCGACCAAGAAGTTTTGACATTCGCTTGCGAGTTTGTTTAGCTTATTTTTTTTTCTACTGCAACTTAATGAAAACAATATAACCTTTAGAAACACTTCAGTTTATTTATACATAAATCTCATATAAGGACGATATTTTGCATTCAGAATAGGTCAAATTGAGTAGACTTGTAGGTTGGAACTTTGCCACAAGTTACATCAAATTCCAAAATCCTCTTTGAGCTTCAAAACATCGAGGTAGCAATACAAGTGTTTTCGATGCATCATTTTTACCTTATCGCCAGCTACTTTCTTTGGCTTTATGCCYTTCATAATACACACTGATTCGATCACAAGCTTGACTCCGACCGGTGGTCGCTGTAAAGCACGTACTTCGACCACATCGTTCTTGTTCAGAGATTTTAAACTCGCTAAAGCTGCTTCTAAAGCGGGCAAAGCTTCGTCCAGGTCCCTTTGCGCGTCGTCTGCGATAGCCTGGGTTTCCGTGGCTTTTTTCGCGGCTTCTGCCTCTTCTCTCTGGACMACTGTTTTTGTTTCATTTGCAACGACCTATAGTTTACCAGGAAGAGATAAATGAGTTCAATGGTAAGTTTTAATAAATAAATAACGCGGTTTTCAATCATTTCATGTGGGAGAACAAATTAATTTTTTTCTTCTTGAAATTCGTAAACAAAACTCCCAATATATCAATATGGAATTGAATACAGTTGGAACWCTATTTTAGCGGTCAYCCTCAATTAAACGATCCCTWATGAAWACCCAAAGCTTGGAATTTCAYATATATTAACWGTAAAACGTGACCTCTATTAAACGACCAACCTCTATTAAGCGGTYTTATTCCAAAAGTGACCGAGTAATAGAGGTTCTACAGTAGCTACTTATATTGCTTTGTCAAACAATACACTAGAAACTGCATTTATAAAATAAAGTTGGACTTACCGAATCCTCCTTAATTTTCTCCATCGTYTCAACAGTCTCCTGTTTTGCTTGGGCAAGTAAAGGCTGCATGGACTCTAGCTCTTCTTGTAGTTTTACTACCTCGTCAGCTGTGGTCAACAGCTAAGCAGAAACAATGATTTGATTGAGTAATACTATAAATACATTTGATGCTTACACGTTTGAATAATAATCCTAGCTATACAAAAAGGAGAAAAAAAATACCTCGTATTTTATCAATGCATGGATTTTGAAGAGGAGCCTGACAATGAAAAGCAAAATAAACAAAAGAAATTGTCAGAAATAACTTACCTTATCCAAGCCAGTTTTGGTTCTATTCCTAGCGCTCTGTAGTTCAGACTTCTTTACTCCTATCAATTTTCGGAAAGTYCCCAAAAGCTCCAAATAACTGAAAGATAACACAGTAAAATAACATAAATGCAATTCGAAGAAGAAAAACATAAAATACTTTGTGGATAATTTTAAGTGAATAATGCAATAAGTGYATTAACCATCATGCTTTGCTACTTACCTGGTTGGTGTGACGTAATTATGCCTTGATAACTCAGCAAGATAGAGCTGTGACTTCTTAGCAACAGACTGGTGAATCTCTCCACACATAGACACCTAGATACGAGAGCATTTTTTTAATAAATAAAAGTAAAGGCATCTGTCAATACGWATAACMGCTGTTTTATTTGACAGCAGATTATCTTGCGCAAAGAACTTACCAAAAACAAAAGAAAGCAAGAAAAAATGTTGTAGTTACAACAGCGCTTTACAATTTACATTTTCCCCAAGTTGAGGCTAACCCTGTATTCCCAGAAGGCTTAAACATTGGGTTTATTAGAAATACAGGGTTAAACTGTTAACTCGGAGAAAATGCAGCTTTTTAAGGCTATTGTAAAAACGACATTTTCTCGTGCTTTCTTTAGTTTACTGTAATGTCTTTGCGCAAGAGAATCTGTTGTCAAACAAAGCAGCGGGTTTTCGCTTTGAATTCAAAAGTTCTCAGCAAGATACTCTTTGAAATAGTTCACGCAAAGTCAACTCTCGTTATAACGGACACCTTCTGTGCGAAAATAAAGTGTTATTCGTGAAAGATAGTCGTGCCGCTGCACCGAAGAGGTGACGCAGGGAATCGTGAAGGAGTTTATCAAAAGTACAACCTACCAAGCCTTCTGTAGATCCTGAGTCTTCAAGTTCTGGAATTTCATTTAAGAAATAAGAAGCGACGGATCTCAATGCTTCAGGTGGCCAAGCAGAAAACCAGTCAATGGTGCAACACGTCACTAGTGAAGGGAATTGACGAAGACGAGCTCGGAATATTTCCCCAATAGGACTGAAAAAAAAATAAGCAACAACAATAAGCTTTCGAGTATAAAAAGGAGGGCCGGCGGGTCCTTTAAAGTCCCACTTAGATCCAAGAACCCTTGCGGTCGTTAATTTTCTTTGAAGATCCACGTGCATCTTAGATTCTTTGCGATCGCTTCTTTTGTTTCACAAATGATCTTATGTTAAAAGCTGCTTTCTGATTGTTTCAAAATCAAAGATGGCGGGAAAATCGCCCAAAGGTTATCGGATGCACGTGGTCCTTTAAACTTTAGTGCCGGTTCACGCTGTGACATAAGCAGAAGCTGAAGAAGTGTATTTTGTATGTGTGAACCGGGGGAAACAGATTGCAGAAACAGAAGCAGATGAAAACTAAAAATTTTTCCTTCTGCTTCTGTTTCTGCTTATGTTGAAAGATTATGAGTGTGAACCGGGACATCATAAACAGAAGAACATGCTTCTGTCAAGTGTTAACAATCTTCTGCTTCGGTTTCTGCTTATGTTACAGTGTGAACCTGCTCTAAGCAAGCGTCTCAATACTMATGTCTCAGAAGCAACACATCGTTCCAAATAGTTAACAATTTTCCCATGYTCTATGGGGTTGATGAGAAGAGATTTGGGTGAGATTTTTATCAACGTGTCATAGTTTTGCTTTGTCCATTGCTTGATACTTTATGCATCACGTATCGTTTAAACAGTATAGGGAGAATAGCTGGGTATGAGGCTGTTTTAACTTACCTCATACAGACAACAGAATGTGTATTSGCCTTTACCCTTCGAGTAAATGCAGAATACAGGTTAACCTTGGTAGGCTGTAGCCCTTCATCTTGTACAACTGGTTTCAAGGCTGTATATATGGTATCAAGTTCATCCATAGCGAAGAGATTTGGKACATCGCCGGCGTTAAGAATATTGTTGAGATCTTCTAAGAAAGTTTCGCTTTTAATTTGAGTATCGCTGAAGAGGAACACGACAGATTTATTTTCCACGCCAGCTTTCATGAGGATTTTCTTGATGTCTTCTTTCCATTCTGGGATACCATAGTTCTTGGCTAGTTCTATCTGGAAWATGTCGTATTCAGCCCTAAAATGACATCAACAGACTGTGAATATATCTAAGCAGAGCTTTAGTAAAACTGATTTTTAGCTTTCTAGTATTATTTGTGGAGATGGAGGAGCGTGGGGCATGTCCTCAGAGACAAGGAGGAAAATGTCTGAATAGCTCTACGTTGGACTCAGAGGGAACAAGGAAAAGGGTAGTCCAAAAACTACCTGGCGAAGAACGTTACTATCAGAGATGAAAGATATGGTATACACATTGAATACTTTGAAAAAAAGAAGGCTCAGAATAGAGAGGAATGGAAGGATTTTGTTGCTGCCCTACACGCCAATAGGCTTAACAGGCAGTAAGTTAGTTATTTGTTAGAACAAGAACCTGAGATCCTTTTAACAAACGATATCATTTTCTTATATTTGATTGTAATCATTCGAGGAACAAAGAAAGTCTCTGTTCTGTTCAAAGCAGCGTTTATCTGAGAAAAAATTCATTTTCCGCAGCCCTAAACCTATCAATTTAATATATTTTCTTTGAGTAAGCTAGCCTCTTTTCATAACGGTCGGAGTCAACACCACTGAAACAAACTATAAGCGTAACATTATCACAATCATAACCTTTCATCACTTACATGTGAGCAGCAAGTCTTGTCAAGCTCTGTCGACCACTACCACCCATCCCTAGCAACAGGGCGTTACCAAGGGGTTGTCTGATGATACGGCTWATACGAGCCAAGTGACGGACGGCATCACTGAACAGAACAAGCTTCATCTGGGCTGTGTTGATTTGGTTGTAGTCTTCAAGRTATTCCTCAAGGATTTTCACCATCTAATAGGATTCGGAAGGATTGTTATTGGCAAAATAACAACTACAGTCAACTCTCGCCTAACGGACACCTCGATATTACGGACAGTAAGATACTGAATCCCCGGCAAAAAATACAAAGAAATGACTGAAAGTTACTTACGTTAATATGGAATCTCGCTACTGTGGACACTAAATTACGGTCCCTAGGGTGTCCGTTATAGCGAGAGTTGACTGTAAGTACCTCACAGGTACTATCAATTTATAATCTATTGTATGCTTGGCGCATTTAAACGTATGTAAACAATAACACGAGCGCGCCGTGTCTTGTGGTTGGATGATAGAGCGGATTTCGTATGAGTGGGAAACGGACGGTACTGTACTGTGACCGTAATCGTACTGTAACCAAATTCTAGTGCCCCATTGGTTCACCAAAATTGTGCAGGCCAGGTGCGGTAACTGTGCGCTAACCGTGCGGTAACGGTGTCCCACTCGTACGAAATCCGCTCTATTCTTTAACTTAGACCGCGAGCCAAGAAAGCCATGCATAGTACCACCTAGTGGTGACTATGGAGCAGTTTCTGGCTATCACGATAGGATCTTCTATAGGAGATTAGAACTATTGTGAAAGTATTGCGATAATATTGTATGAGTACACAATCAATACTTCAGAAATAATAATAAAGCAATTCGTTCTTGCACTTGAGTAGGACTAAATACATGGATTACTCCCGCATATAGCAATACTGCAGTTTAGTTTCCAGACAGTCACATTTGAATGGTGACTTTGTTTACATGTTCTGAAGTGCACTTTTTGACAAAGTACCCGCTAACAACTTTTATTTTGGCTTAAAATGTTTTTAGAAAGAAACTATTGAAACTATCGATGGTTATAGTTAAGTATGGCGATAGTTATCGATAGCGTAATTCCGTCGCAGCTTTGACATCGCAATTATTCGAAATTTCGATGGATCGTTACACCATCAGTAATACCTTATTATAGTCCGAGACTTCRTTATACACTTTCACGTCTGCATTAGGCAACATAAAGTCCCCATATATCATAGGTGATTCATTGATGACATCATCTATCTTTATCTGAAAKCCTTTCTCTATCTTCTCTTTCATCAGCTCGCTGAACCATTTGCAGTCGTCCTCGTTGACCAACCGGTCCTGGAAGACACGGCAGTTTTCGTGGTACCACAAGCGTAGTAGGTCTGCCTTCTCGGTGAGCTTATCAGCAGGCGCCATAAGGATTCCTTGGAACACTTTGGACAAGTCACGGAGATTGAAAGTGTAATGACTTTTGGCTGGAGTTGGAAGAAGCTGAAAAGATATTTTATTATTAGCTTATAAACAACTGAACTTGAAAAGGTTGCCCAMCTAATAAGATATTCCAATATTCCAATTGCCACGTGACTTGTGAAAATATTCGCTTAACGTTTGTATAAAATGGTCAAGAATGTCAGGTTTGATTAAGAGTTGAAATTACAAGACTTTTTTTTTTTAATTTTTTAAATTCTATATGGACATTTAAGAATAGTCCAAGTGCAGAAACGGAATTATATATCAAAATACGTGACAATTGGAATATTAGAAGCCATTTTAGGTGGACAAAAATTTTGATGATCGGCTTTATAAGGCAGGTATCATTTCATTCATTTAAATAAGTTACAGGTAACGATGAATGAATATAAGTACTAAAACCAATAAAAAAGGACAGAGTTTCCAGATAAAATAATATGCATACCTGAGTTATGACTGTATTATATACAGATATTGTGCTGTCAACAATGGCGTTACCAAGTAGCTCCTTGCCCTCTCCACGGTAATCCACTAATGGACAATGCAGTAATTAGTGCCAATAAGTACATGCATTTACTACTGAACTTCTACCTTAGAACTATGCTTATTCATTTAAGAAATATAAAACGGCGCACGTGTCTGTCCTCTGCATGCTACTCTTTGTGTTTCTAAGGTTGCTTCTCGAGTGTTTTTCAACTCTCATCGTGTTTTATATCAGAGGACAGATACACGCGCACCGTTTTATATTTCTTAACTTATCCTGGGGGCTTTTTAATTTAAGTATTCTGTCCACTCTACATTACTGCGTAGTACACTGTTCTATCTACACTATCTCTAACCTGTTGATCTTGCAAGCCTGGTGTTTCTATCTGCCACAAATGAACAAAAGAATAATTAAAGTAAATAAAAATACAAAAAGCAATTTAATGCCTTTTTGGACATAGACAACACCACTAGACTTTCATACTTTTCTAACTTCCTCTTCTGCTATATTTTACTGACAAACCATGGAAATAAATGATATACAAAGTAAATAATATTAATATAATGAAAAAKTCGCTACTTCTTGGTTAGCTTTTAGGTGACTTTAACTTTAAATTTAAAACTACGCAAAAATTATATCATATGATTTTTGCGCAGTTTTTAGGCAATTTTTCCTAAAATCTGCTGGAGTAGTCTGATAGCAGTAATCAATACTGCTAATATCTTGTTAGCCATGAATTTATCATTAGGATGGGTCGCTATATGATGCTTACCTAGCCAGGACTTGAGAATGGTGGAGAACACCCTCTTCTTGCTGGCATCCTCCAGTTCAGTAAATGACAAGTGGTTGAAATGTCGCAGGAATCTCGGTGTTACTGGGTTACGACCCCCTCCTGGWGGACCCATGGCACATACAAATGTGATGTCCACCAGTTCACGAAACATACCTTTAGTCAAAAAATACATGAATGTTAAGCTTTTATAGAACATATGATAGCTCAATTGTTTCTTTGACCTCGTTATTCAAATTTCCAATAGTCTCCTTCACGGTTACCTGCGCCATCTTGAAAGGTAGCCGTGCGTTTGCATCGAAGGAGGACGGCCGTTGAGCGTGCAATGATAGAAACATTCTTTCACACCTACAGACAATTATTCACAGGTTTCTATCATTGCACGCTCAACGGTTGTCTCGCTTCGATGTAAAGGCACGACTACCTTTCAAGATGGCCCAGGGAACCGTGAAGAAGAGTATTACACGAATGCACTTCACGAACACGCGCACTATGCAATTACTAAAGTTACTTCACGAGTCTGTATTGATTGCGATCGTGTTTTAGATTTTTCATTTATGGATAATGAAGTGATTTCAARTATCCAATCGATTTTCATCCATCGGTTTTAAGACAAAATAATAATTAATAATAATTTAATAATTTATATAGCGCTATTTAATAATGTCCGATCAATAATATGTCCAATCATAGAGCATAAAGGGGCATTAAAGATTAACTCATACCTATAGCCTTCCTGTCGTACCAGCCCCCGTGATCACAAAACTGCCGAAGAATTTCGATTGGGGGYTGGGCGCCATAGACTTCCAAAGCAGGCATGTTCAGGTCATCGACAAAAAGGACGTAGTACTTTCCTAGAGGTGGACCAAACACTCCTTTACGCCTATAAGAAAATGGGTTTTAGATTAACATTATATTGCAAGAACTGTAGTCTAAACTACAGACGAACCTCTACAAAAGACCAGAAGACCGCTTTATAGAGGTTGACCGTTTAAAAAAGGTCACTTACAGTAAATATGTATGAGTAAATGAGATCGAATCTTTAGAATTCATGAGTGGCCGATTTATGGAGGGTATCTGGTTAATAGAGGCAATACTGAACAGAAAAACGACGAAAAGAAAAGTGTCTTTATACCTCTTATCAAGCTTGCCATCGATGATATCTTGTGTCTGATTGGCTGACGTACGAGCAGAGAAATTCAAGAAATGRGATAAGAAAGCTTGTGGCATTTTGTTTAACAGTTTGTCAGCGATGCATAAAGTCTTGCCTGACCCAGTGGGTCCAACACATAAAACCTACAGAAAACAAATACATAAAAAAAGGTTAATGAAACTACTTTGAAACTGATGCAACTTAATTGAAACCACGAATGCAGCCAGTGGGTTCACTGCAAAGTTTTGAATATTTTTTGACGTTAAGAGTGTATCAATAAGAGCACACAACGAAAAACCGTGAGCAATTTGTTTTCACAACATTTTTAGTCCAAATATTAGTGAAAATCAGTCTTTCCTTTCAATTGAGCGCGCGCGCGAGACGTGATGGTGCAAGCACAGTGTGCATGTCCTCTTATTGACATAATAGCCAATCAGCGCGCGAGAATTTACACAAGTGCGGTAAAAATATATTTATTCCCAAACATAAGCAAAAGCTCGTAAGGGATGACGGGTGATTATGGCCCCTCTAAAGAAAGTCATATTTTAACAGGATTACAATGATTACGTTTTCCGTCCAAAACAATAGTCTTATAGAGTGACAGTCTTAGAGAGTAAAAATATATTTACTGCCTTTAGTTACCTTTTGATGGTTTACAACAAGTTTCTCAAGTATAAATGAGCCTCTAACAAGATCCATAGTAGGTACAATGATATCAGAGTACTTGGTGTCTTGYGATATATTCAATTCTAGCTGTCCATCCATCCAGTTAGACCACTTAATCTAAACAAGATGATAATTCAAGATCAGTTCTAAATACGCAAGCTTTGTAATACGTTATTGTTTCACTGGCTTAGAGCGCGTTATTAAGTCCGTGAAACATGTAAAAAAAGAAACCAATGCAATTAGAGCGTACTAAGGTGTACAAGTGTAGCATCTATTTCGCGTTTTTTCCTTCCCTAACTGTATAAAATTGCTCTTACTTATTCTAAGCTATAATACTTTCTGTATAATCTAACCTCTCCTGTTGGCTCAAATGTTTCTATCTGTTTAGACAAAAATAAAAGAATTCGTCAATAATGGAAARTAAGAGTTAATGGTGCATAGGTTGAGATGTAGGGTGATTAGAACGCATTAAATTCCCATTCCTTTCATTTCCATTCCTTCCTGCCATAATGGTTATAATCGCTACCAAGCAACAGTCAACCAACTCGAGAGCAATCAGCTCCTTTGGTTACCGAACAGGTAAACTATTTAAATAATCTGCTTGACTATACTATAGGAACTATGTCCTATTTCAAGTATTGTACTGTTGTAAATGGAATTGAATTGAGTGAGACCTCATTAATTCGACCACCAAAACGAAGTGACCGTATAAACGGGGTAGCCGTAACAACCATGTAGTAAAGAAAAATGCACGATTGGTTATTGTTACATTATGGCGGGCAGGCCGTATTGAATGGGTGATAGTTGTCGATATTCCACTCAATGAGGGATGAGGAATTTACACAATCATATTACATAATACTTACAACTTTAGCCTTTTCTTCATCTTCGTCATCATCGCCGTCTTTTAGACTAACTCCTCCATCTTCGAGTTTGTAGTCATACACTAACCCTTGGGGTGGGAACGGCATAGAGATCTACACAATAAATATCCAAAATAAATTATTTTAGTATTACCATACTAGWGGACTATTGCAAATCCCTCGTTCTGATYGGCTACGCTACTCGGGGTYTATTTTCAATARTCCTCGACTAGCGAAAAGCGACAACTTTTTGCGTATTTTTAGCAATAAAAACATTTAGTTATTCATATATTTCATTCATTTTTTGCCCAACTAGTATKRYAATACTAAAACATCGTGGWSTWCGAGCTGATAGCCCATGAGGCCTTAGTCCACTCGCCCTCGATATGTAATTGTTAAATATACCTTTTCTTCTTTCATTTTCTTTCTTAGATAGTCACTGAATTTCTTGCGTCCATCACCGTCAGATGTACCGCCGACAGCCCAAATAAGGGAAAATATGAACCAAGGTTCCAAAAGCTTGTCAATCATATCGATTTTCTCTTGAGGGATTGTCTTGCCCTTTGAAGTAGTTGAAAAATATAAAAGTGTCAACCCTTAAAGCTGCACAAAATAAACAAGAAAACAAAACAAAACAACAAAAAACGCAAAAATCAAAAAGAAAAACAAACAAATAAACATAACAAACGAAAAAAAAACGAAAAAAAAAGAAGACAAAAGTAAACGGATTACAAAACAAAACAAAATAAAAGGAAAACAAAACATAGCAAAACAAAACTAGAGACAACAACAACAACAACAATGCACAAAATAAACAAGAAAACAAAACAAAACAACACAAAACGCAAAAAAAGAAAAAAACAAAAAAAAACAAACAAACGAAAAAAAGCAAAACGAAAAACATAACGAAAAAATAAAAGCAAAAAAGGAAACTGATTACAAAACAAAACAAAATAAAACGAAAACAGAACATAGCAAATCAAAATGAGCTACAATGAGAAACAAAACAAAACAAAAACGAAACGAAAAAAAGAGCAAAAAAAAAAAAGAAAAACGAAAACGAAAAAAAAAAAAACATGAAATCGCTATAGCAGGATAGTTTGCAAAGAGGAGTCAAACAAAAGCAAAGATAATAGGTGAGTGAATATTATAAGTGAGTAAATATAAATAAATGTTTTTGAGGTAAATTTGATTATAGACTGACCTCCTTTGGTACAAAAGGYTCAAAGAAACAATCCAGCAGTCTCATTAAGCTGCAAGTTAGATTGCTGTCCACAGTTGGTGCAAATTCCTTCATATTGCTACGCATAAATGCAATAGAGTCCTAATGGAAAAGAAACAAATTGAAATACAATACAATATTATCAACAAGGTTAGACAAAAGGAAGATGTTGACAAAAGGTGGGACCTCCCTCGAGCCTTTGTTTTACTTTTAAAACTTTTTGTAAACATTTAACGAGAAGTTCCAAAATAAAATAAAAAACAAATAAAAACGGTAAAAAAAGGAACAAGATCAAATTTACAAGCGTTTGTATGTGATCACCCGAACATAAAATCGCTTGTATCTCCGCTATAAATTGCGCTAAGATACTCATATTTACCAAGGATRCATKAACAATTATATACTTTCTGAATATGGAGACCAAATTTCAAAACTCAAASATTTCGTTTTCTGACGTCATCACTTTAGTACTYTATKCARCAAGACTCACCTCTAGGAAGGCATCAAACAGTTTTTCTAGCCGTTCTTTGTGATCAAACACAGCGTCTGGAAGTCTTCTCAGGTAACAGTTGACATAGGGCTTTAGTCCAAGGATACTAGGTTCAAGATAGACCATACCACATCGACTAACGGTAGCTGGGGATGCAACAGCGAGATCCTGTACCTCGAACATCATTGTCATTGCCTAGAAAGGTAGATGTAATAATATGAGATATAAACAACAAAAATCCTATTTTCATGGTGATGGAATACAGACGAACAATCATCAAAATTTTGGACAGAAACAATTCCTGGAAATTCCATATATCCACAGCAACAACAACAAGTATAACAACAACAACCACAACAACAACAACAACAAACTACGACTACAGCTACAACAACAAACTACGACTACAGCTACAACAACAATTTCAACATCAGCAGCAATCATGGCACATATACATCTCGTAAACTCCATGAAACACCTTTCCATTGGCCATTAAAACCTGCATACTGAAACAACAACAACAACAACAACAACAACAACAACAAAAGATTTTTAAAATAGAAATCCTATAACTGCAGGATATACACTCACCTCGCTGAGTTTTATGATTTCACCACTAGTCAAACAAAGTTTCTTATTATCATCCAACACTGTGTTCATGTTTTCAATCCAGACGGCGTCCACAGGYCCATCAAAAATATACCACTTCTTATCAGAAGTAGTGCTGGACGAACCCTGTCGGATCATCGATGAGAGGATACCATCAGTCCATTCGTGTGTCAGAAGATCAAACTCGCCATAAAGCTGACCCATAGTGATCGACTTAGGGTTGAGGACGTACGAATGSACTTCTTCGAATGGTGATCCAGAAGGTGACATTTGGCCTTTTAGTGAGCTCATGGCTTTTTTAAGTATCTGGATTGAAACAAAAATAATAATAATAATCAAACACAGTGACCTTTAATACCACTTTTTTTTTACAGAAAGCGCACATGCATCTTTTACTTTTGATCAGTACTATTTAGGGGATAAAATCACTTCATTTACAAGAGACAAAACACGTTGAAGATGGACATTGTTAACTTAATATTATTTTTTTAAGGGCCACTTGAAAAAAAAATAAATAAAAAAGAGAAGAAAGAAAGAAAAGAGAAAAAAAAGAAAAAAAGACATATTATTGAAAGTTGCTTTTTGACTGACCCACAAAATAAAATATTGCGAAATTAAATTCCGTATGGGAGAAAATCACATATAAATTCTGGAGTGCACATGGGCCTTTGAATATAAGACTTAGTAATATCCAATTGCAACAGGTTGTCTTAATAAATTATATCACTCACACGGACAAACGCCAGAATCATACTCAGTCATTCTTCTTCTTTTTTTTTTTTGCATGGTGCGCGCAAAGGATCAAAGGAACTCGGAAGAAAAAGTTTCTCTCTGGTAGTTTAGGCTTCCCTTGACACAACGCTACCCGTCAAACAAGCGAGAGAAACGACTGGGCACGAGTCTAGACAAACGCTACGTCACCAATAAATCGAGTATCACAGTTAGTATATCATTTTGTTAAGTAACTTTTATGTTCTAATGTACCATTTCTGGKAWWTAYKGAATAAAGAATTATTATTTCATATACCTCATAACATTGAGTCTTTCCAGATCCAGTAGGYCCAACCAACATGAGCCCATGRCGTACCACAGTTGTCTCGTACAATTGAATACATTTGGTWACAAAACCATCAACATCCTCCAGGCCAGTTTTCAAGCATGTCTTACGGATCGAGTCTTCTAGAACACCATAGTCAATAGGCTGCTCTTTSACGTGYGGGAAAAGATCCGACACGATACCTCTGAACAGTTTCAAGTCGTCTTGCAAGAACTTAGGGACATTGACATCGCGGATTGCGCGCAGGACAATCAACTCTTCGCTCATCTCTGGGTTTTCACGCTTTAAGTTGCCGGCTGCTGAGATGACAGTCTTAACAGCACGCATACCGAAGTCATAATGATCTTGTGAGCTTAGCTGTTCAGACGATAACTTAAACGTTGTTGTGATTTTCTTGGCCAAACTCTTGGCCTCGGAGAAACCAAAAGAAAATAGACTGATTTCAGCGATGAGAGCGTAGTCAGGTACCATCATAGCAACGGGTCGAAACAAGGCTTTTAAATTGTCTGGTAGCTCGGTTCGACCTGCATAACCGGGATTCATTGTGATAAATACCGCACAGCTTGGTCGAAGTGCTAGCTCAACGCCTTCAAACATGAATCTATCTACCCTGGCTTCAAGGGCTTGTTGGATGGTAGAGATTTGTTGGGCAACAACTGATAATACCTCTACGTCAATACGGTTGAACTCGTCAAAACAAGCCCAGGCACCAGCACTGGCTAACCCTGAAATGAAAAAGAAAGCAAGGTGAGGATCACGAAATATATAAAAAAAAGCATTGCCTACGACAAATTTAATGTTTAAAGTTCGTATATCTAATGAAGCCTTCTTTGACGTCATCCTCATTGCTCGTTTTCAATCATCCTCATGAGATTCAAAAGATAAAAGACCGCCGGCCATGTTGGTTAAATGAACAATAGATACTAATTAGAAATCCTTTGTTTAAGTTCAACCAAGATGGCAGCTGTGACGTATATTGCAAACGAAGAATTGACATATAGAAGATTGAACCTTTATAACTCAAAGATGCAACACTGAAATGCAGGAATATTTCACCATTCAATTAATTACTTTATATAAAATCAGCTTATAGAGAATCAGAAATCATTGTGCAAGACGTCATTCATGTAGACACTTTAATACGTACATGTAATTGAGCTAGAATCAGTATTTTTTTTTTCCTACCAACCTTTAAAGAACTTGCCCATAGCCATAAAGTCCAGCTGATCAGAGCAGTTAAACACCACACACTGTACAGCCATAGCTTTACCAAGATCTTTAGTAGTTTCGGTCTTTCCTGTCCCAGCAGGACCRGCRGGMGCACCACCAAACTTCAGATGAAGAGCTCCAGTCAGTGTCAGGTAACAGCGGTCTGTCAATGGAGTGATGACAAGCCGCCCTGTGTTACCTAGGTATTCGTAGCCATAGTCAAACTGGGCATTAACAGCTCGGATAACCATGTTGTCCTCTTCCCAGTAGTATCTAGGGAAATCATTATATACGTGATTACAGCTAGTTCTAACTACGTTGAATGACGAAGATTCTATTCCAGAGCCCGAAAT